GTGGCAAAAATTTTGTATCCTCACTCTTTCTGGTAGTTGAGAAATATCCAAAATACCATTTTTACATAAAAATTCAAAATTTGTGTGGTAACATAATTAGGTGCTGGAAATTTCATGAAATTTTTTGGCTTGAGCATAGATATATATCTCCTCTATAAATAAAACAAGTGATTGATTCGATTCATTCGCCAATAAACGTTTAATCTTCACTAGAGCAATACCCGTGCACAACGTGGAGAGTATCCTTAATATATTCATGAGGTTAAACAATAATGTTGGCCAAAAACAGGAACAGGAGTACATCTAAATTTAGATACTAAATTATCAATTAACAACAGCAGCAACAGATCCTAGTAGTCATAGATTTAATGTAGTATAGATATCAAAGAGGAATAGTGATACCTATTTTAGTAACCTTGTCAATATTTGTCCTAAAAGTTCGAAAGGGACTATTGAAGATGGAAAGAAATAAAGGTGATCAAATTGACAGATCAACACTGCGAATCACAGTAGGAAAAGCCTTAAGTTTGCAACTACCTAAAAAGGAAGGAAGCGAATAACTATGAGAGTAATTCTGTAAGTTTTAGGTTAAGCCTTAACCCGGGTTAGCTTAACCCCACGCGATGAGCGGGGTTAAGCTAACTACGTTAAGACTCGTGTAGACGCACGTGAAATCATTAACTCGAGCTAAGTGGTAGTTATCAGTAGACCGAATAGGCGGCGACACATGCAATGTTGACATCCGGGTTACTTCCTTTCCACGACTTTTGAAGATTCACAGATTTTCATATTTGTAACTTTTTGCGATATTTTCAATAATATACGGATAACGGCACGAAGAAATAACTGGGAAAAAGATCCGGTACAAGCTACTCGTTACATGCGTATACTTGCATACCGCAGTAAACCCCGTCTCCCACTAGCTGCCGTTAGCTTAACTCAGGTTAAGACAAACTCCGCGTAGATGATGTGTGTTTCTGAACTCGGGTTATGTGTTAACTCAGGTTAGCTTAACTCGGGTTAAGGTGACTCCGTGTAGATGAGGCTTTAGTTCTCGCACATGTGCAGTAATGCAACTACAGAGTTTGCTATTAAACTTTCAAAAACGTCCCTCCTTTCGAAATTAGTATAAACGAACGTAACTTAGATAATGTAAAAACTTTAGACATCTGATAGAAAGGTTGATAGAATGTTGATAAACTTATCACCTCGTTGCCTTTTTCATAGTGTAAACCCAGCTTAAGCTGAAGGTAGTTGGTGATTAACGTTGATCTTTTTTCCTCGCAGGAAGTCGAACGACAGACAGGAGAAACTGCGCGGGTGAAGAAACTGCTTAGCTTCCCACCTGTGTGATGGAGTCTTCCTACTTAGATGTGCCGCCTGCAGAAGGAGAGAAACCGCATGCGTGTGATACGTGTGGACACAGATTCGCGCTAGAGAAGCATCTGCGGACCCACATGCTCATTCACTCGCAAGAGAAACCCTATGTGTGTGATATGTGTGACTACAGATGCTCTCAGATGTGTGAGCTGAAGCGACACAAACGCACACATACAGGAGAGAAACCATACACGTGTGATATGTGTGACTACAGATGCTCTGAAGTGGCTAAACTCAAGCGACACAAACGCACCCATACAGGAGAGAAACCCTACGTGTGTGACATTTGTTTATATTCATGTTCTCGCTACTCTCTCTGCAATAAAAAAAAAGTTTGCTGAAATGATGTGTACGCAACTGCGTATCTGCATATCTGCGCCTAACAAAGGTGTCACTACGCACGACTGAAATGTTACGTTTATAACCGTAGCAACAGACCTCAGATGAGCCCAGTCGCTCTGCGGCTCATGTGGTGAATGTACATTCATATTATTTTCAGTTTTTAGTCACTCTGTCTAAAGTCCCTGTGGTACAACCAATATAGATGCAGCTTTGTGTGCTAGCAATACTAGCCAATAGCGGATAACACTGTCACATTAGCTTGATCATCTGAGCCTGATCATTCATTGCTTTCGACACGTGCCATCTTCAAAGGATCACTTTAAGTTAAGCTTCTTTGTTTCTGTCATTCCGTATTGGAATTCTCTCCTTTCTGCTGTACATAGTTTATTGAAAATTTGAGGCTTTTTCTACTGCCATCTGCAGTGTAGATAAGCCTATTTGATCAACTTTGTCTCATTCCA